ATAACGCTTCTTGGCAGTGGCGAGTCCACTACTCCAGTAGCAACCTTCAAATGTTCTCTGTGCTGCCCTACAGTCCTACTACGTGTCCCTGCACTTAGTCTTCACCTCTTCTCTCTCCTCCAGCTCCCACATTCTTGCCTCCTCCATGATCAGCTGATGACCTTGCTTCTTAGTTCACAAATAGAATCACTCAGACAAGGTCTCTGCATTTCTTACCACCACAATCCAGCCTTCCAGTGTGGCCCCAGCTAGACTGCTTTCCTACCTGTTGCCAGGAATGAACTGGCCCTACCTCTTTCATAAAGTCCACTGTCTAACTAAAGAACATCATTCCAGAAGTTATCTCCTTTCTCTTTGCATTGACACTTTCCTTTCTTGACAGGTTTATTTCCACGAATAGGTTCTATCTCTTTACTCATTTTCCCATTTTTGCTTTCACAGCAAAACTCCTGGGAAGAGTGGTCTACATGGACCTCCTTTACTTCCTTTCCTTCTCCAATCCACTCCAGCCTGGACTGCCCCTGGACTATGCTGTGTCTAAAAGGACACCTGGCCCTCCAGGTCATCAAATTTAAAATCAATAATGTACTCTCATTTTATCTGACCCAGCAGCTGATTACTCCCTACTTCTCAAATATGTCATTTGGTTTCCAGGATACTCCTCTTTCCCCACTGGCTCTGCTGCTTCACCACTTTGACCAGATTGTCTTCGTTTTCCTTATCTTCCTATTGCCAGATTGCAATCCTTAGACCTCTTCTATTATTTTCTCTCCTCTACCCATATTCTCAAATACTTTATGCAATGACACACAAATTTCTAACACTAGTCTGGACCTCTCTCCTGAACTCTAGATTCCCATGTCTAATTGCCTACTTAATTTTTCCATTCAGATATCTGATATCCAAACCCAAACACTTGAGCTGTCCTTACCCCATACCTGTTCCTCCTGTAACCTTCCCCATCTCACTAAATAGAATCTCTGTTCAGCTATTCAGGCCTAAATCCAGAATTTCCTTTGATGCCTCTCTCACATCCCATAATTAAATCATCAATGTTTTGTCTGGTTTGCCTTGACTGTGAATCTAGATTCCATATACACCTATCATTGTAGTCCAAGTTGTCTTTACCTCTCTCTTAGCCTATCTCAATAGCCTTCTACATGGTCTCTGTGTTTGCTCCCCTCCAGCAAGCAGAGTGATCTTTTAAGAGTCAAGGTCAGGTCATGTTCTTTCTCCGAACAAACCCTATAAATGTCCTTCCATATCATCTGAACTAAAAACTTTCTGGCTATCCTTCTGGTATTATCACTTGCTACTCTCCTTCCTACTCTTCTGCATCTGTCACAGTGACCTCCTTGTTGTTCTTTCTGCATTCCAAGCCCACTCTACCCCAGGGCCTTTGCACTTGCTCTTCTTTATATTGGAAGAATGTTTCCCCAAGATAACTGCAGAATTTGCCCCTTCGTGTTATTTATACTTCTGTCCAAATGTCTCCTCATTGGAGAAGTCTTCCCTGATCCAACCAATCACTACCCTCTCTAAGAATAGCCCCACCCCATCCCTCCTGGGCTTTTACCTACTTTTTTGGCAGTACTCTGTGCCTTCAGATGTTATAACATACAACTTAAATTTATATATATGCATATATGAAATATTTGAAAAATAATTTTGGGCTCATTGTCTCCCTCCCATCCCAATATCCTGACTAAAATGAGAATTCTATGAGAGCAGCTTTGTTTTGTTCACTGTCACACACCATTCACATAATAGGTATTTAAACAATTATTGGGCAGATCACCACCCAAAGCTCTTCTAGTTTCATCGATTCTCCCAAGGGTTACCTGAGCAATATGGAACCGAGGTTTATGCGTTAGATATACTTCAAAACATCTGGCTTTGAAATAATAAACCTTAGTCATAACTCAGAGGAATTTGCCCCAGTGAGTAAAAGTCAGTTGCTTCTTAACAGAACTTCCTTCAGTCTACTGGGTCTCACAGCTTTGGCTTTGACAGTCTCCCTCTTAACACCCCACTCTGCTCTCTCTCACTGGATGTTAACTTTGCCCTGCTATGTCTTAGTCAGGGCATCATCACACTTGAAATTCTGTTCACTGGTCTGCCTAAGAAAAGCCATTATTATATCTTCTGAACAACGGCATCATATCCTATAACAGGTTGCTGGGAGCAAGAAAATCAAAGACTCAAGAATGGTTTGCTTCTTTCTTTGCTCATATTCCCCTCCCCCCCGATATTTAAATGTTTCCTATTTTATAAAATCAAGAAGATTTATAGAAATAAAGTTTACTAACTTCAATACTATTGTACAAAGTTATTGTCTCTGAAAATCATATCCTGCTTGTACCACAATGTACCACATGTACCACAATGAAGCCTATACTCAGGACCAGTCCTCACATGTAATTATGTAGGGGCAAAGAGTGTATCAGAAAAGATTGAATGTTGCAGGCATGGGAAATAAATTGACCTCTACTCAAATTACTGCCATGGCTACACAGAGAGAAGGACCTGCATCTGTTTCACATTGTAAATGCTTGAGGTGCCCAGAGGAGCACGGCAAAGCCAGGGAATGGCCAGTAAGCATTGAGTTGAGGGTGCTGAGGCAGTCCATGGTCACTTGTGCAATAGTACTGTTAAAAGAGTGATTAGTGCTTGGTGTTTAACTTACCATTCATATTTCACATAATTCTGAATATGTTTTGCAGTTTAATTCAAATAACCCACTTCTAGCTATTGAAAATAAAATGAAATAACTAATTTCCTATTAGACTTCAAGCTCCTTAGAGGCAAAGAGTTTGTCTTATTCACAGCCACAGAAACATAAAATTGCAATACTGGCTGTGACCTTAGAGGTCAACTACTTCTAATTTAGCCACCTTAAATAACTAGATAATACAACCTATCACAGTTGCATTAGGGTTTTTCATTTGTAATTACAATCCCATCTCACACTTGAGAATTTCAAACTTAAACTCCAGCCTGAATCTTTGGCAAGTAGGTTTAACTGAAATGATGGAATAGCTTTTGTTGTAGCCAAACAGGACCGGAAGCAAGGTAGCAAGGTCAGCTTGCAGCAGCAACCCCCTGCCTCCCCCCAACCCCAAGAAGTGCCTAACTCCATTCACAGCTAGGAGGCCATGGTCTGCTTGAATAGAAATGAATTTACATGACCCTCATAGGGATTTTCTCAAGCCTGGTTCTTGTGAGAAAACTATCAGTGCTATTAAAATGCATAAAGCTAACTCAACACTCTTACAAGAAAGAGGAATGTAGAGTATCACCACACAGCGCTGTAAGAAATGGCTCTGGCAGGGCAGATCAGGGATCATATTCTGTCCTGGAGGTGGAGGCGGTGGGTAGGCAGGAACTTCAAAAGCAGAGTGTTATGTCAAAAGGGGTGCCACATCGGAAAGTCAGGAGACAAACGACTGCTCCTTGCTTTCCGATGAGAGTTCTCATCTAAAACCCAAAAAGGTTCACAGAGAAAATCTGGACCCACACAAGAAGGTTCTGCAATGTTGTTAGAAAAATTAGCTTGGTCCCTTTAGCCATTTCAGCTTTCTGTACAGACATTCAAAATGGGGCCTTTTAAAACTCTGCCCTCAAATGAAGGTGATATCTGCCAACACTTTGGCTGATATCACAAGACTCCCAGGGCAACGCTTCACTGCTTCCTCAGCATATGCCAGTGCCCATTTTACAGGGGGGATTTATGATCCTTCCCTCAGTAGAGCGAGCCAAAGTTTTATAATATTCATTAAAAATCAGCACCACATGTAATAATATGGAATACTGCCTGTACACAAGGGGTCCGAGTTATAGGTGTTTAGGGAAACGTGGCAGAATTTCCTGGCCTTGGCAGGGGTAAAGTTGCAGGCACCAGCAGTACACCAACACAATCTCCTTTTATTGCAAATGTTCCTTCAGTCTAAGTCCTAATTACTTTCTTTAAAATTCTAAACACTATCAAGTTTTCTTCGGACAGGGAGCAGTGGCCTCAACGCGCAGCAGCACCACTGGCAGCCTCCAGGCTGGAACCCAGGAGGTGTTGGGGCTGAGGCTGGGAAGCTTGGCTTTTCAGTTATGCTTGGCAATTTCTCTCGCCCCTTCTAAAACCCCGGCGTGGGGGCTAAGGGCTCGCGCAGTGGGACGGGCCAGCGCCTCCAGGGAAGGATTCAAACCTCAACCTCGCTGTTAGGTCAGGAGCTACTACTCTTTCCCTACCCAAGAGGGGGCCGGGTCTGCTTTGTGGAGGCCCGTCGAGAGCCTTTTCCAGCCGCTCCTGGGAAACAAACACAACGAGGAATCCGCAGGTCTGAGGTCTGGCTCCCCTTCCCGGGTGCAGTGCCCTGGGCTCAGCCTCCTCCCCCACGTGCCACCCCAGCTCCCACCACTCCCCGTACCCCACTAGCCCCCCGTCCTTGTCCTTCCAGATCCCTCGAATCCCAGGCACGGCCGGACCGAGCCAGGCGGTCGGCGGGGCGCGGAGCGGGGGCTCTCCGGGCCGCGAGGCCGCACAAAGCGGGCAGAGCAGCGGCGGCGGCGGCGAGAGGCGCGCCCCCTCCCGCGAGCCGGCGGAGCGCGCGCGCTCGCCCCCGCCCGCGCCCCAGCCCCCGGAGCGCCATTCGCGGAGCGGCTTACGCTAGTCGCCGGGCGTACGGCGCCCAGCGGCCGGGGAGGTGCGCTGCCCGGCTCCCGTAAAGTTATTGTGAATGGGGAGCGGGTGACGTCAGCGCCGAATGTCAACAATGTAGCGATTGAGAGTGTGGGCGTTCCGGGGAGAGCGCAAGCCGCGCGGCGCGGAGCAAACAGCGCCGAGCCGCCGCCGCCTTAGCAGCAGCAGCAGCAGCAGCAGGAGCCGCAGGAGCCGCAGCAGCAGCAGCAGCAGGAGCAGCAGCAGCAGCAGCAGCAGCACGGCCCGTGCACGCCCGGGCTGCGGGCTCAGTAGCGCTAACGCGAGCGCCCGCCGCCGCCCTCGCCACCCCGCCTGCCCAGTCCCGCTGCGGCCGGGCTCGGGCTTTCTCCCCGGCCTCCCCTCGACCCGTCCCCTCCCCCTTCCCGGCACACTCGGGGGGCTGGGAACTAGCTGCCATGTGATGCGCGTCTTCTCCGCGAGCTTTCGGTGACCCCCGAACCGCCCACCGCGCCGGCTGCCGGGAGGGGTCTGCGGGCTGGGAAGACGCGGGGAAGTGGAGGTGCAGAAGGACGCAAAGTTCTCTGGCGAGGTGAGTCCCCGACCCCGGGCCGGGGCGGCGGGGCAAGTTTGCGAGGGGGGGGGGGAGAGCGGGCGCGCGGGGCAGGCGGGGAGGCGCGGGGAAGCGGCGCGGGAAGGGAGGCGCGGGGCCCGGCGCGCAGCCTCCCGCCGAGCCCTGCCCGCTTTTATGGCATTTTTCTAGGAACGCGGAGGGGCTGGGCGCCGAGTCGGCGATCGCGCCGCGGCGAGTGGGAGCTCCCTCGCCGGGCTGCTGACGGCGGGCGAGGCGGCATTGTATTTTGCTCGCGTCGACGGGTGTTTTGGAACAGCAGGGGGAGGAGGAGCAGAGGGTAATAAGTCAGGCGTGGGGAGGGCGGGCGAAAGGGAGGCGCGCGTCCGCGCGAGCGGGAGCAGCTGTCAGACCCACGGCCCTGCTCCCGACTCCGCGAGACCCGGGCGCCCGGCCCGGGATCCCTGCGCCAGGCCGGGCGGCCTCGTGCCTGCCCGCGGCGGCTGCGCCCGACCCTGCCCCGCTGGGAAAGCGACCACCGCGCCTTGGCACGCACTTGGCCGGCGCGCAGGGTGGCTCCGATCGCGGGACGAGTGGGGCATCAAAGCCCAAGTTTAGGGTCCCGGAAGGAACCAGGCTGGGCGGCTTGGGGTTCAGAGCTGCCACTGCGCCCCGGGTGGAATTCCTGCTAGCCAGGGACCGGGGTGTCGGAATGCGTCCGGGGAGCTCACCCCCAAGGACCGGTGGCTCGCCCGTTCCCCCAAGATCCTGCGTGAAATCAGAGTGAACACACACTTACACACGCACACACACACCCTGTCCTGCCTTCCTAGGAGTCTTAAAGCCCCACCTAGGAGTTTAACCAAGGGATACCTCGCCGCCTTCCCAAGCCGGGCGCCCCGTCGGGCTGGAAAGGGTCGTTCTCAGACTCGACGTGTGTGGGGAGGGGGCGCAGGGGAGGCGGGGTGCCCCGGCGCCCCGCGCCGGCGGAGAGGGCGTCGGGCGGCGCTCACGGACTGCCCCAGCTGCCCGCGTGAGGGGCCTCGCGCGGGCATCGCCGCGACCTCTCTCCGGCCGAGGGTTTGCGGGAATTCGCACCGCGGGAGGAAGCCGGCGGGACCCGTGTTCGTGCGCGAAAGGGGTCGCGCACCCCAGGTTTCGAGGGCTCGCGGAGCCCTCTATCCTGTCCCATGTAGGCGAGTTTGACAACTTGGAGGAAGTTCGGGGCGGCTGTCGGGACCGGGGTGGCAGAGGCTCCCGAAGGCGCGCTGGGGAGCTCGCCCGCCGCGGCCCTCCGCGTCCCCCCCGGGGAAGAAGCGGGGCGAGGGCACCGGGTCCCCGCGGAGCCTCAGCGCCTGGCGGGACCGCGGGTGTCGAGACGCGGCTTTCCTCGGTGTTCACCTTCCCTGTCTAGTGCTGCCGTCTCTCACTCTGTGTAAATTTCAACTGTTGAGTGTATTTAACTAAAAAGGGTAATTACTTTAGATAAAAATCCTTTCCTGCCTAGTGGGAACCTTGGCGGAGATGATGCCTAATGAGATATTTTGCTTTTGTCTGTTTAGAGTAAAATTAGAGATGTTAACTCTGATAACGGTTTTCTCAGATCATTAAAATGTAACATGTAGGAAAGGCATGTCGAGCTGCTAAGGCTCTAGCTGACATGAAAAAAGCTGAGAATGAAAGGTTGCCACTTCTTGGGTGGAGAGGACTATTTTGCTAAGGCATCGGACGTCTTGCTTAAAATGTGAGCATGCCCCACCCTCCTTTCTCAGGCAGCTCGAGAGTAAACGGCATTCTTCATTCTTGCAGGTAATAATAAATGTGAGTCAAAATGACATCTTGCTAGAATTAGTCTTTAGTCTGTAAGAGAAATTGCTAAATTACAGTGTTGCATTCAGACTGCTCCAGTGAAAGGTCTGTCAGCATTTCCATTATAAATGCAGTTTTTCAGGAGTTTATAATTTCACCACAAAACTTTGAGTGGCTGAAATGTTTTTCCCTTCTAGTGTTGTGGTTTAAAAATGCATTGATTGCTCACTCCCATCCCATTTGCAGTTTCTAAACTGGACTATCATTCGAGTGGGGGGATCCCAGAAATGGAACATGCAATCATGGAATAAAGCACTTTTATTACAACATACTTTATTTGTGCAGAGCAGCATTTTCATTTTGGATTTTGGAAGCCTTCGGGCTTTCTGTTGGTAATCATGAATGAGTTAATTCTTTGATATCGGTTGATTCTGCAGGTTGATTGAAATGTCAGCGCTACCTATTTTCAGCCAGGATTGTATGTTAAAACATTCTCATATATGTACATGTCTGAACTAATAGCTATATGATGAACATTCTTGTTATTTTTCAGTTCTTTGTATATTGCATATGAGGATCTGCCATAACGATGAAGGAGTAGGGCAAAAAGGGAGGCAAGGAAGGAATTGTGAGCCCCACCCCCAACCCCCACCCCCAGTTCACTTTTTAGTATTACTAGTGCCTGGGAGAAAGCATTTGTATTGAATTATGTTTTTGACTCAGTGTCTTCAGGCAAGTCCCTTCCAGTCACTCACCTCTGGCTGTTGTGTGAGGGGCTTAATTATTTGCAAACCGCCTTGAAATCCCTGGATGAAAGGCACTGCATAAGTGCAAAGTATTGTTATTCAGATATGGAATTTAATGATCCATTACAGTTCATCAGGAAAATGCACTTTGCAGTGATGGTAGGAAACGTTTCCACCTGATAGAGGGTAATAATAACTGCTTAAAAGTAGGTTCAGATTACAGATGAGACAATTAACTCTAGCCATGTGCTCTTCAATTTGTTGCAATTCATTTTGTGATCAAAGTGAGTCACAGAGAGCCAGATGGTCAGGTTCATGTTCAGATCGCTCCTAGGCCAGCTTCACTTCTGGGCCCACTGTCTGCACAGCTTATTCATTAGCGCTTGTGAACTGTTCCTCAGAATTTGCGATCGAGCTCCTGTGATGCCAACAAAAGGGCTCAGGCCAATCTGTATTGTTGGGAGCAGTTTAATTTTACTTGGATTAACTTGTGCTTAGTGTCTCTAGTATGGATCCAGCCCTAACAAGGCAGAGAGAGATGCTAGTGACTCTCTTAACTCAGCTGTGCCTGGCTCCACTCCCTTGCTTTTTGTATCTTAGATTTCAGGGTTATGTCTGGCTTGATTGCTGAATGAATGACAGAATATTTGCTAAATAAAAAACTTTCCTGTTTGGCTGAGGGAGTAGGGAGTTGACCACCTTCAAGGGCATGGAACCTTGGCCAATGCACAGGGACCACATTTGCTCCCTGATTCCGAAGGATCGCACACTTCTTTTTAATCTTCTGTTGTCTTCTTGAAATCCTTAATACTTCTTGAACTTGGGGCCTTTCATTTTCCTTTTTCACTGGTCCTAGTGAGGAGGGGGGATAATGTGGAGTGGCAAGTGACCACTACTTTGTCTCAGCTCCTTGTGCTCACAGTTGCCAGGCAGGAATTGGTGGAGTTCTGTCTTTGTGTTACCATACCGTCTGATGTTCCCAAGGGAAGCTGGATAGCCAGATTTTTATGTGGAATCCCCTAATTTTAAATATTAGCTCAGAAATTTTTTAAAATGCTGGATGAGAACATACGTTTGAGCTAGAGCTGGCCTGCAGGTTTCTCTGCCTTCTACCACTGAAAGTGCTAAAACATCTCATTGTTTTAATATTTCCTTATTTGGCTATTTTCTAAGGGCTTGGCACATAGTAGACAATTTGTGAGTCTCAGCCAAATGATTGATTACAGCTATCAGGAAAATTGAAAGATGCAAGAAAAACAAAACTCTAAATCAAATCAACACAGAGTCCCATTCAGGAATTGATAGCTTTCTTTTTAAGAGAATACATCATGAAAGGCCAAATAATTAATACCACAGGTTCTATGAGACTCTATTGGTTTTGAACTACTCACCCTCTAGATGTTATTGACCAGATGGGGTAATTTGACTATTTAATGCCTTTCTAGAGAGTTTGACATTTGAGAATACCCACTAAAATAATGGCTGTGTTATAGCAAATACTCGCCAAGTACCAGAAACAATGCTAACCTCTGCCTGTGCATATCTCATTGACTCCTCAAAGCTGCCCTCTGAAGAAGGCAATGAACGCATTCTACAGAAGAGAAAGGTTCTCATTTTATGTTGGACAGAATTCATCTGAATTCTTTGTTTGTTTTTTCTTTCTTTTTTGACTGTCTAAAGGTTACTTCCCCATCCTGCAGATACAATCCAGTCTTTAATCAATGACTGGGTGTGGGGTAGCAACCTTAACATAGAGAGAACCTCATCTCTTCCTTCACATACAGGGAATAGGGAATGGTGCAAGATGTAACATATTTGTCAGAATCTATGATTCAGGCAGAAAATGCTCCATTTGCCTCCTTGTTCCTGTGCTATCCCTCTCTGGATATTGAAGAAGCTGCAGTGACATCTGACCCTGTCAGTTCAGTAGTGAGAGCTGGTTGAAAAAAATTGACGTTTCTTTGAAAAGACGCTAAGAAGGCTTCCTTGGAACCACATTAGGGAAAACAGCACCAAGGCCTTGGGAATGCAGGGAGATGGCTCCTATTTTTTGTTCCCTCTTTAAATTTTATACAAATATTTACAAACTGTTCACCTTAAGCCAAAACCTGCTGTGAACTTAAATACTTCGTAAACTTGGTAAGACTGCCCAGAATATTACTCTTGTTTATTTTTTTTTTTTTGTCTGGGATGACATTTAATAGAAAAGAAGTTCTTTCTTGGTCAACTTAAGGTCAACTTAAGTTCTTTTTTTTTTTAATTGTTAATTTTAAAGTTCAGTCTACCTAGAACTGAAATGTAATCTTACCACCAGCTTTATATTCAATTTCCCTGAAGCTGGACATGTCATCAGACTCTTACTACCGTGTCCTTTGCAAGGACCTTTTATTCTAAAGAATATAAAAATTGACCTCGTTGTACTAGTGGCACTACTTCAAAGATCAGGTAGGAATTTTGCCTTTGTTT